CCCTTACTTGAAAATTATGCCCCCATCAAAGGCTCCAGGTTAGCTCTAACACTTCTAGGAGGTGAAATACAGGCTCATCTCTCTAAACACCTGGGTGGTCCATGACATGATGCCCACGCTGACCCTGGGAGAACTGTTTGAGCACCCCGGGAGCCGGCGGAGACATGGAGAAACCTTCCCCTTCCATGTCAAGAGCATGACATCAGCCCACAGCTTGTAAAGGGGGTGGAAAGCTGCGTGCCAGACAGCAGGCTGCCCTCGTAAAATCGGACCAGTTCAGCGATTAGCTGCCCTGGAGTCCCCTGGGCCAGTCCGTACCGGCTTCAATAGCACCCCTGCTAGCTATTATCTCAGAAGGACGCTCATTATAGAAAATCATGTCCCTCTGCCAAGTTCTCGTGTCTCACTATTTTTGGAACGACAGAGGCAGGCTCTGTGCCTCAGCAACTGTCAGCAGAGCCACATGGAGAGCAAATCCATATAACGATCAGGCTAGCAGGGACAGTGCTGGCAACAGCATTGCCTGGGGGACGGTCCCCTGGAAGAACCCTGCGGTCATGAGAAAAGGGATAAGGGCAATGAACATAAAACCCAGAAGCTATTTGACACTATTTGCATGGGAAGCTGATCTCCCCCAGCCCTTTTCATTCTCATGCATATGAGTGGAGACAAAAGGATTTAAAAGCAAACCACCTGTGCAGGAAGGATGGTTCCTAAACCCCAAAGAAGACAGGACCTACTTACTGCAAACTCATTTTAATTAAAACATTCCAGGATCCACATTCCCCAGGATTAAATTACTGACTTAGCTATTTATACATATAGCCTCTTTCACCCATTCTAGGACAGTATTGTTGAGGTGTTGGATGACCAGTGTCAGGTAAATGGAAACGAGCATTTTTTGGTGCTTGTGACCCCTAACACAGGATCCACAATTATCCACAGGTCAGCCCCAGCACCTGTCAGCAGCTCACAGATTACTGCAGCAGGAGCATAATCCTCTCTGACTTTAAAGGATGATTCTAAGGCCCTAGAAAAAGCAGAGGTAAATGGCTTAGGCAAGACGGAAAGTTCCCAAAGCAAGGCTTTCAATGGAAAAAAAAAAAAAAAAATTAAAAAAGC